TGGAGAGGGGTGGGAACCAGCACCGCCTGCAGAACTCACAGTCCACACCTAAGTCCCCTTCACTGGCTAAGAGGCCCTGTCATGGGGACTCCACCTCCCGTTTGACATTGGAGGAAGGACGGTGGGGGATGCAGAAAGCTACGTGGAGCTCAGGGACCCTCCTGCATTCCCACCTGGCTCCTCCTCTTTGGTGGCGCTGGAAGGAGCAGGGGTAAGTCCTGTCTCTACCCTCTGGGTGACCCCATGTTTCTCAGAGCTGGTATCATTGATGATATCCCTCTCGGATCCTCCCATTGACGTGCCTGGAAAACAGCCCACAGCCCAGTGCCCTCCCAGCAGATGATGACTCTGGGGTGCTGGTCGGGTTATGCTTCAGGAATGACCACAGAAAATGAGCTCCATCTTCTGCTCTGAAAAGGGGGAGGTAGCAGAGCCCAGAATTCACATCCTAGACCACAGGGGTGTGGGTTTTCAATGTTAGTTGGCAACACCACTGCCAACCACTTCTAGAGGCATTTGCTTGTTTGCTTGCTTGTGTTTCTACAGCATCACGTGCTCAATATCCTTAAACTCAGGGGTGGAAGATTTCAGGGCAGGAGAGGGTGTTCTTTCCTGCTGTCATCTCTGGGGGCATCTGATGCTTGTGACTTTCAGATGATACTGAAATAGCCCCAACCCTGGGCACCAGGAGACAGGAGGCTCAGTCCTGGCTTTCTCTGCCTTCGTCTTGTCCTGCTGTGAGGCTTCCACAGGCACCCTGTGCCACTGGGCCATTCTCACCTGGGAATTGAGGGAGAACAATCTGCCCTTAAGGAAGAACAAAATGAGGCAAAGGGCCACTTGTGTTGAGGGCAGGATCCCTGAACTCAGAGAAATTTAGAAGCTGAAATAACTGGATTGGGAGCGGTGACTCACACCTGTAATCTCAGTACTTAGGAGGCCATGGCATGTGGATCACCTGAAGTCAGGAGTTTGTGACCAGCCTGGCCAGCATGGTGAAACCCCATATCCACTAAAAAAGTATAAAAACTAGCCCCACATAGTGGTTGGTGCCCATAATCCCAGCTACTCAGGAGGCTGAGGTAGGAGAATCACTTGAACCCAGGAGGCAGAGGTTGCAGTGAGCCAAGAACATGCCACTGCACTCCAGCGTGGGTGACAGAATGAGACTCCATCTGAAAAAAAAAAGAAGCTAGAATAACTAAATAACTAGTAGCACCACACTACCTGCTCTTGAGAAAGAATTCTTTTTTTTTTTTTTTTTTTTAAGCTGGAGTACTGCTATGTCACCAAGGCCTGAGTATAGAGGTGAGATCTTGGCTCACTGCAACCTCTGCCTCCTGTGTTCAAGGGATTCTGCCACCTCACCCACCCCACCCCCCATCAACTAACTGGGATTATAGGCATGGGCCACCATGCACAGATAATTTTGCTATTTTTAATAGAGATGGAATTTTGCCAGGTTGACCAGGCAGGTCGTGAAATGCTGATCTCAAAGGATTCACCCACCTCAGCCTCCCAAAATGCTGAGATCACAGGTGTTAACCACCATGCCTGGCCTGGAAAAAGGACTATAAATGACACAATGTGGGAAGAGCAAGCTTGTGAAGACCTGCCCTGGCTGAGGTAGCTCATGCAAGTCAGTCTCTCTGAGCCTCAGTCTCTTGTTCTGTGAAATGGGATGACCATAATAGCTCCTTCACAAGACAAGTGGCAGGTCAGATGTGAGAATGCACAGGGAGGCCCTTTGCAACTGGATAAGCTCCATACAGATCTGGAAAGGGGAAGGAGAGAAATAAGGAGGGGCTTCCACGGCTGCATAGGGCATCTTTTGGCTGGGTGAGTTCTGAGTTCCAAAGCTGGGGAGGAGACTCAAATCTTCAAGAGCTCTTCCAACTTCGAGATTCCCTGATGGATTCAGGGCTATGGGAGGAAGGGCTTGTGGTTCATGTCTGTTGCCGGGATTTCTGTTTCTTGGTTTGTATCTCTGCTGCAGGTCCAAGGAGCTTTGGTAATACCCTGAGTCTGTGTTCTTCGTCCCCACAGACCTGGGGGAGCCCCAAGGCCCAGGAAGAGGGGAGGGCCAAGAATGGGTTGGTTCCCTCTAGTGGTCAGTGTTAGCACTGCATCCAGCTGCCTCAGGCGGGGCCAGGGCTCAGCAAAGGTGAAATTCAGGTCTGAATCATGCCCAGAACCCCCAGAATCTATTGGCTGTGGTTGACTCCTTGTCCCAGCACACACATTCTCTTTGCTGAGTGGAGAGAAACCATGTGGTAAGGCGGAAAGGGATAGGATAGAGAGTGGGATGAGGTCCATGGGCATCTCAAGGACTGGCTATCCTGACATCCTTTCCCACCTTCAGGTTGACCACCATGACATGCTGCCAGAGGGCACCCACCTGCCCCTTAAAGAGAGGCCAGGATGGGTGGTGCCTCTGGCTGACACTCTGTGCACAACCCTCACAGCGCTGGTGACGGTGGGAAGGGAAAGATGACAGGCCAGGGGGCATGATACCAGCATGTGTGAGAGAAGCTTCCAAATTATCCATTAGCACAGGCACGTCCGTGGCCCCCCTTGCACGAACGTGCATAGAAACAGGTGGGGGCCAGCAGGCAGAGAGAAGGGGCGAGTGTATAAAAGGGCCCACAAGAGACCAGCTCCAGGATCCCAAGGCCCAACTCCCCAAACCACTGAGAGTCCTGCGGACAGCTCACCCAGCTGCAATGGCTACAGGTAAGAGCCCCTAAAATCCCTTTGAGCAGGATGTGTCTGGACAGGAGAGGTGGCACCCTGTAGATGGGACGGGGGCACCAGTCCTCAGGTTTGGGGCTTCTGGATGTGAGTATCACCATCTAAGCCCAGATATTTGGCCAATCTCAGAATGTTCCTGGTCCCTGGAGGGAGACTAAAAAAAAACTGCCCCTGAGCAAGAGCCCTGGCCTTCTGCTCTCCGGCTCCCTCCCTTCCTCTCCGGTTTCTACCCAGGCTCCCGGATGTCCCTGCTCCTCGCTCTTGCCCTGCTCTGCCTGCCCTGGCTTCAAGAGACTGGTGCCTTTCCAAGAATTCCCTTATCCAGGCTTTTTGGCGACGCTATGCTCCGTGCCCATCAGCTGCACCAGCTGGGCTTTGACACCTACCAGGAGTTTGTAAGCTCTTGGGGAATAGGTGCCCATCAGGGGTGGCAGGAAGGGGTGACTTTCCCCTGTTAGGAAGTAATGGGAGGAGATGAAGGAGCTCAGGTTTGTTTTCTGAAGTGAAGATGCAGGCAGATGATCATATACTGAGTGAGGTCCCAGAAAAGTAAGAGTGGGAGCTGGTCACCAGCACAGACCTTGATGGGGGATCCTTCTGCTAGGAAGAAAATTATGTCCCAAAAGAACAGAAGTATTTCTTCCTGCGCAACCCCAAGACCTTCTTCTGCTTCTCAGAGTCTATCCCGACACCCTCCAACAAGGAGGAAGTGCTGGCAAAATCCGTGAGTGATCGCCCTCTCCCCAGGCAGGGATGGGGGAAGCCGGTGGTCAGAGCCCCCGGGCTGCACACCCACTGCCAGTCCTTTCCCTGCAGAACCTAGAGCTGCTCCACATCTGCCTGTTCCTCATCCAGTCCTGGCTGGAACCCATGCAGCTCCTCGGCACTGTCTTTGCCAACAGCCAACGGCATAACATCTTGGACACCGATGTCTATGAGTACTTAAAGGACCTAGAGGAAGGCATCCAAATTCTGATGGGGGTGAGTGTGGCACCAGGGGTCCCCAATCCTGGGTCCCCACTGGCTTCCAGAGCTGGGGGAAAGAAACACTGCTG